AAAATCAGCCAATGGAACATAACAGAATCTTGTTCAACTCACTTGCTTCAGACATGTTGTCAGGAGAAATCAATCACTGGAGGAAAGCGTATCTTTGGTTGAGAGCCAACAAGAGTGAGGGAGATCCTCAGTGAAGCAGATGGGCGCAATAAAGAGCTGGTGATTGTGATGAGGAGGCAGGACAGGGCCACGGTTCCCTCTGTTGTACCCAAGATATAATGAGTTGGAATTAACTTTACAGCAGTTCTCTATCATATACTGTGTATAACTTAATATAATAATATATGCATTTCTAATTGGTGAGGAACAGAGATACACAGGAGTAAATATTTAGAAAAAGAGGAAATGAAAATCAATGCACAAGGAGACAGGAACGGACAGAGAAATGTTAATGAGCTACAGAGAGAAGCACAGACTCAGATGGTGAGAGTGAGAGAGAGGCTGAGATGAACAGAACTAAGAGATCATCTTCCTTTAGCACGGAAAGCCCATGCGGGGCTTTTGGTTCAGTAGCGGATCCCCAATGCTTAGAGCAGGTGCACACGGTGACAGGAAACGACGCTAAACAAGCGAAACGCTTGCAGTCCCCAAAACTACCATTAGGTGGCAGTGTGCCAATGCCCTGAAGCTTCCAAACGCATGGTCCAAGAAACTGGTAGCTACAGGCGTCTGACTTTCAGAAGAACTTTCTCTGGGCTCAGCTTCGATTCCACACCCCGCACAAGCCCTAGGCGATGAGTGACCTTTCCGCCTGATACACCCCCTTCTTCACTCCCCTCCTGCCACCCTACCCAGTTAAACAATCCTTTGTCCTGGCCCCTTCCGGCTGGGCCCTGAGGCACCTGGGTCCTTTCCAGGCCAGGAGATAGGGTTGGGACAAAGGTGTGGCAACTGGTACAAGGCCAAGGAAAAGTTCTAGGGACTTTGAAATGAGTTATTCTGGTCTTTTTGGACCCAAGAATCTGAGACTCAGTGCTCTTATTCCTCAGGACCCAAGATTCTAGGTCTCAGACCCTCCTTCCCCAGACTCCCCAGTAGTTCAGACCCCCCTAGTCCCCTCCTCCTCAGAGCCAGGAGTCCAGGGCCCTAGCCCCTCTTCCCTCAGACCCAGGAGTCCAGGCTCCAGAATCCATGCCTCTAGGCTCTTCTCCCCTCAAAGACCCCTGGCCCCCTCATCTGGGACAGACGCCCTCTGGTATTTCATGGAGGCCCTCTGGTATTTCACCTCCCTCCTGCAGAGACCCGTCTCCCCCCACATCCCCTTTAGTGTTGAGACCAAGACTGAGTCACAGGAAGCTCTAGGGCCCTGAGTCACCCCTCACTGCCCTCCCCCCCTTCCCTGCCTGGAGTGGAGAGGACTGACTCCTGAGCTGCATGTCCTACAGCCCGGAACTTCCGTGTGAGACAGGTGTCCTTCCCACTGTGACCCATCACTGTCCACCCTGGCACCTCCCATGTCCAGCCTCCACGGATTTTTTTCTCTTTTCCTTGTAGTCTGTTTGAAGACAAAAATCGCTCCCTGCTCTAACGTCTATGTCTTGATCTGCCTTCTGCTTCCTCTCCACCTCTGGGTCTCTCCATGTCTTTAATTTCATCTCAGCCTCTCTCCCCCTTTCTTTCTCTCTCATTTTTTTTTTTTTTACCCCTCTCCCCTTCTCTTTTCCCCTTTTTCTTTCCTGTTCCTTTTTCTCTCTCTGTCTCCTCTCTCCTTTTCTTTCTCTCTTCTTTCTCAGTCTCTCCAGGACTGCATCTATCCAGAGCTCTGATTCAACACCAAGAATGTATCACTAAATGGTACATACATAAACTGTTGAATTGGTGTGTATTTTACTATGGATATTCTCAAAAACAACAAAACTAAGGAAATTATAAACCTTTACAAAAAAATCTCTTTCTGTCAGTCTGCATCCGTTCTTCCCAAGTGCCTGCGCTGGATGCAAAAGGGTCTGAAGCAGGGGATATCTGTCTCCAGTCCTCCAATTCTCTCAGGTGGCTGTGCAGCCTCTCTTTCTCTGGCTTTTGGCCTCTGAATGGGGTAGGGGTGGAACCGGAAGAGCAAGATGACCTAGCGGTGCCAGTGAACAGGAAAAAGAAACCAAGGCAGACAAGCACAGAAAAGTTGAGGACCTGGAGTTGACGGAGAAAATCCAGAATCAGTGTGAAAAATACAGACACAGGGAGAGAGGAAAACCACAGAGCACAGTCAGGGATGGAGGAGACTGAGGAAAAGAGAGAGGCAGGGATAGAGACTCAAGGACAGACAGACATGGAGGGAATTTAGAGGCAGAGAAAGCTCAAGGAGAGACAAAGACTGAGATAAAGAGAAACCCAGAGGGTTTCAAAGCGAGAGTGACTGGGAAGGAAGTCTGAGGAGAGGCCCAGAAACCGGGGAGGGAGGAGAGAGGCTCAAGGAAGGCGGTGCCCAGATTCCCTCTCTGGGATGCCGTTAACGTTAACGGCATCTTCTCCGTGGCAATGTGTGATGTCTCCATCCCTCTCCCTTTGGCCCATCTTGCCATGAGTGGAAATCATGTGTGTGACTTGGGGCGGGGCACTAGCATGGGTTGTGTTTTTTGTCACCGGGCGTGTCTGTGTGTGTGGTTTGGTGTCTCTGGGTGTGTCCGTGTGGGTTGTGTTGATGTGTTGCCAGGCATGTCTGTTGGTGAGTGTCTCATTTCCCTGTGGCTGGCGGGTCCACGTCCCTGCATGACACGGAGCACTGGAGGGGTGGGTGTGTGTGTTTGTTTCTCTGCAAGTGGGTCCAAAAGACACCCTCCCATCCCCTGGTGTCACTAGAGTGTGGGATGCCGTGCAAGTCACTCTCAACCTTGAGGTATTTAGTGTTAACTCTGAATTGCTGTGGAATGGTGTTGATATGTGTCCCAGTGTCCAGGGACATAGATCTGTGTGTGAGTTCTGTGCTGCTAATGCTGTCCCCTTTTACAATGGGTGTCACCCCGAGGCATTCTGTATTGCACTTGCTAGTGTGTGGATCAGCATGTGTTGTATTTCTTGTGTCCCTGGCTTGTGCAGCCTTGGGTCAATTATGTGACATCGGATGGGATGTTGGGGCCTCTCCCTTGCCTACCACTCTGAATGTGTTGTGTTGTGTTTGTGTGGTGCCGTGTTATGTGGTGCTGTAGTGTGTCCCCCTGTGTTGTGTATGGTATTGTGACAAGACGAGATGTCAGCTGGGTCAGTGGGTCACATCTGCTGTCTTAGCAAAATGAAGTGATCACAGAAGGTTGTGTTGGTAAGTGTCATGTGTACTTATGTGTTACTCTGTTGTGTAGTTGTATGTTGCTGTGTTTGTGTAGTTGTGTGTTACTGTGCATTTGTGTAGTCGTGTGTGTTGCTGTGTGTTTGTGTAGTTGTGTATTACTGTGTGTGTAGTTGTGTGTTGCTGTGTAGTTGTTGCTCTGTGTTTGTGTAGTTGTGTGTTATTGCGTATTTGTGTAGTTGTGTGTTGCTGTGTAGTTGTTGCTCTGTGTTTGTGTAGTTGTGTGTTATTGCATATTTATGTAGTTGTGTGTTACTGTGTGTTTGTGTAGTTATGTGTCACTGTGTGTTCATGGAGTTTTGGTGGTGGTGTTAAGTACCGTGGAGTCAGTTCCGACTCATAGCGACCCTGTACAGGGTTTCCGAGGCTGTAAATCTTTATGGGAGCAGAAAGCCTCATCTTTCTCCCACGGAACAGCTGGTAGTTTCGAACTGCTGACCTTGAGGTTTGCAGCCCGATTCGTAACCACTACGCTACCAGAGCTCCTTGTATCAGCATATATGTGTGTACTTTTGTGTTACCATTTATTTGTGTAGTTTTGTCACCACGTTTGTATATCTTTGTGTCACTGTATGTCTCTGTATGTGTTGTGTCTCTGTAGCCACATGTGCTGAGTGTGGGTGTTGTATGTGGTGCTCAGCTGTGGCTTGGAGACAGAAGAGACGCTGCGGAGCACGTTTTACTCTGTGTGCCGCATTTGGGCGTCAAAGTCCATGTTACTTGTGGTCCAGGGTTCACTCTGGGATGTGTGCCTTGTGATGAGCCAACATATATTCGAATGTCTGCCCTTGGGCGTGTTCTGCTGGGATTTCTGTGTGTCACTCTATTGTTGGTCTCTGACTGTGTCCGCTCGTATTGTTCTATGACTGTAGATTCGAATCTCATTGTGCAGCAGGATACAGCGTGAGTCTAGGTGAATCAGTGTGTGCAGTGAATCACCCTGTAGGCATAGCTGCCCGGAGCTGCCATATGCTGGGCATCTGAGAGCTGCCACGGGCATGTCCCTCAATGTTGTGTGTCTGCCGATGGATGTCAGAGTCATTCCACAATTGTGGAATGTTTGGGACCCCGTGAGTGCACTGTGGTGCAGATGTGTTGTTTGTGGTGTTTGGGTAGCGCCGTGGATCGCTGCGGTATGTTGTGTCTGTGTAATGGGTATGTTTGGGTGTGGCTGTTGTGTCAGAGAACGTTGAGCCGGTGTTGAGTGCCCTGTGTGTAGACAATATTTGGGTGACGGTGAGCACCACGGGACTCAGCCCTTTTGCTGAGTAGTGTTGGTGTATGTTACACCATGTGTGTGGTGTCCGGGTGTGACTGTAGGCTTCAGAGCTGTTGGGAGCTGTGAGTCACTGTGTAGAGGTTGTGTTGTGTGGCCACGTGTGTTCGGTTCCGTCTTCTGCAGGGCTGTGTGTGAGGGTTTATCACCCAGGGCCATGTGTCATGTGGTGTCTGGGTGTGGCCCAGGGTAGGTGTGTATCAGTGTCTTCAGACCGTTGTGTGGGACAGAGCCCATTGTGAGTCCACGTGGATGGACGACAGCCTCTTCCTTGCTGTGCCCCAAGACACACCCTTGGTGTGGGAAGGGGGGCTGGGGAGCCTCCCCCCTGGCCAGGGGCGTCCCAGGCCCCTCCCTGCCCTGCCCAGCCGTCACCACCCTCAGAGGGCACAGGGCTGCACGGTGCCTCAGAGCCAGAGCCCCAGAGTGAGCACCGAGGGCTGACAACCTGCAAGGCACAGTGGCTGCCCTTTGTGTGCTGCGAGGTGGGGGGACCTGGGCGGGAAACTGGCTGAGCCCCAAGACTCCGGGGGCCATGGCCGGGGAGCTGGTGCCGGGCCTGGGGGTCCTGCGGCGCCGAAAGCGCCTGCTGGAGCAGGAGAAGTGGCTGGCAGGCTGGGCGCTAGTGCTGGCGGGAATTGGCATCGGACTCATGGTGTTGCACGCTGAGATGCTGTGGTTCGGAAGCTGCCGGGTAAGTGGAGTCCGGACGCTGGGCACTGGAGGGGGCCAGGGCTCCAGGGTCTGAGAGAGTAGGGGGCTGGACCTCTCTAGGTAGAAGGGAGGCGGGAGCTGGGAACCCCTGGGACTCTGGGGTTTGAGAGAGGAGGGGGACTCGGGCAGGAGAGTGGGAGGGGCCCAAACTCCGGAGTCTGACGGAAGAGGGGAATGTAGATCCCAAAACCTAATCCTGGGTTTAAGGGAGGAAGGGGACCGCGAGCCAGGATTCCTGGAAGGTCGGTGGGAGGAAGGGCTGGGGTCCAGGACTCCAGGAGGGGGCTGGGGGCGGGAACTTCTGGGTCTGAGACAGGAAGGAGCTGCAGACCTGAGTAAGGTATATGCTGGGGCCCCTCCGCTCTGCAATAAGAAGGGACTAGAGCCACAGTGTCTCAGTCTTTGGTGATGGTGGCATGAGATGATTGGAAGTCCCAGACCCCCTGAAGTCTGGAGGGTCCCAAGAATGGATTAAGGAAAAAGAAGCCCAGGTTTGGTGAAGGGAGGGTGGGAAAAAAAGAGTAATTTCTTCCAGTCTTGTAGGCGGAGGTTTCTGGGTCCTTATCTAAACTCTAAAGTTTACCCATTGCCTGGGCAGCAAAGGGCAGAGCCCAGAAAAATCTGGCTGGGGGTGGAGGTGGAAAATGGAAAATAAACTCACCTCCTCTGGTCTCCAACATTAAGGAGTTCAGCTTTCCCTAGTTTGGGAAATAATGAAGAGGAAAGTTTCTAGTACCCTGGACTCCTGGGTCTGAAGGAGGAGGGGTTTCAGAGGGTCTTTGGGGATGAGGGAGCTGACTGTGTGAATGGTGATAAGTAGGGAAGAAAAAGGCAGGTAATAAGTAGGGAAGAAAAGGTGGCTGGTGTCAACAGGTGGCAGCATGTTCCAACTCTGGTCAGGGCAGTGGTGGGAGCAAACTGAGGCCAAAGATAAGAATCAGGATTTCAAGGGGTCAGGCATACCTGAGTGAGGTGAGGGTGGAGAATTGGGATGGAGGAGGCCCTAGTTTGAAGGGTTTCTGGGGAACGGAGGCTTAAGCAGGATTTGGGGGTGGGGGAGGCAGCCAGCTCTGAAGTGTCACAAGGAGGTCAGGGCAGGCCAGCTTCCTCTGACCAGGCTGGCCAAGGCGAGGGCATCTGGGCCCTGGGGGGGTGGGGGTGGAACTGCTGAAGTCCTTGCCAACAGGAAACATGGACTGGGGCCTACCAGCCGCTCCCACGCTCAGTTCCCGCCCCGACTCATGTGGTGGGGGCACAATTCCCACCCCATCCCTGACCTCCCCCCTTCTCCCCTCTCATTTCTTCCTTCCCTCCACTACCTGCGAGGGACCACCACTTCTCCCACTAGGACCATGGATACAGCTCCCTGAGATTCAGTTTTCCCATCTGTAGGCCGGGGCAAGAGTTGAAATGCATGATTTGTAGTGGTTACAAATCAGGCTGTGAATCTTAAGGTCAGCAGTTCGAAACTACCAGCTGTTCCGTGGGAGAAAGATGAGGCTTTCTGCTCCCGTAAAGATTTACAGCCTCAGAAACCCTGTAGAAGGTCACTATGGGTCGGAACCGACTCCACGGCACGTAACCACCACCACCACCAAGGGTCCTCCTAGGAGTCCTTGTGCAGTAGGTTAAACATTGATCTGCTAGCCTTAAGGTTGTTGGTTCAAACTCACCAGCTGCTCCATGGGAGAAAGATGAGGCTTTCTGTTCCCATCAAGATTTATAGCCTTGGGAACCCTATGGGATAGTTGTACTCTGTAATATAGGGTCACTATGAGTCAGAATCAACTCAGCCCCCCTCTCAAGGGCTGCTTAGATAATATCCATGTCCTCTCCTCACCTCCATCTCAGCCTCACAGACTCATTGTGCAGGGACCCCAACACCTGCTCCCCCAAGGAGAAGGGCTGGAGGGGAGCCATAGGCCAAATCCTAGGGGCACACACGGAGACTGGCACCAGTTGAGTGGAGGGAAAGGAATAAAGAGACATATAGAGAGGCAGAGACACAGAGAGACAGAGGCAGAAAGAGATGGAGAGAAAGATCAATAGAGAAAGAAGAGGCCATAAAACCTACCAGTGAAGAAATATTCGAAACCAAATCAAGAAAAGCAGAAACTTCCCCGAGAGACCAGGAAAATTCAGAGGCAGAAGTAGGGGCCAAAGTGCAGACAGGCCCCAAATTTGAGGGCAGAGGAACTGGAAAAGACAAGACCACCACAAAGAAGTGAATTGCATGGGCAGTGATTGTGTTTAGTGGGGTGAAGGTTGGGACAGACTAAAGAGAGAGATGGAGAAAGGGGGAACCAGAGAAGGATGAAGGAGGTGGAAGAGAGCTAAGGACAACAGCACCATTGTTTAGCTTAGGGGGCAGAGGGCAGCCCTTCCCCCCAGAACAGGAAACTGGCCCTCTTCCCCTCCTCAGAGGCGAGGCCCTGGGCAGGCTGGGGGAGCTGGCATCCTTCTTAGGAGAAACAGGTGCCTGGCTCAGCATGGGAACCCAGGTGGCCTCCTCACCCTGACAACACCCCTAGGCAGGGACACCCCCACTCCTTCCTAGGGAATTAAGGCATCCCAGTCCCACTAAATCTCTCCTTCCAGAAGTCTAGATTCTTCCTTGGTATTGCCACACAAAGAGAGGAAAAAAAATACTTCTTCATGGTTTCTGGAAGCCCTTTGCTTCCGGCCAAATCTGCCCTGGGCTTAGAGCCAGGAGAGAGGGCCAGAGGGAGGGGAAGAGACATAGGGGGCAGAACTGGGGGCCCTCTCTGAGCTGGGGCCAGCATCCCAGGGACTCAGAGCAGGATATCACTCCTTTGGGGACTGAATGATAGTTCTAGGTTCTTCTGGAATTGGGTGGGTTGGGGGGAGTTGAAGTTGGTTTCCAGGGCAGGAAAGGAAGGGGAGAGGGCCATCTCTGAGGCCAGATGTCTGTTTCTAGATACCCCCATCCCTACACCATCAGGGCTGAGCAACTCTTTTGGGTGGGAAAAGAGACTGGGGAGTTAAGAAGGAATGAGTGTTTTCAAGAATTCCCTTCAGAGGTAAAGGTTTTAGGAAGAGAGGGGAGGAGGATGGTGGACACAGGCATCCGGAATAGGATTGTCCACTGGGAAAAGAAAAGTTTACTTCTCCTGGGCACCAGATGATGGTTTTTTGATGTTCCCAGAACTGAGACATCGTGAGGAACTGGTTTAGATGGGCTGTTGTTGACTACTGTGGAGTCGGTTCCCACTCATAGTGAAAGCCTCATCTTTCTACTGCGGAACAGCTGGTAGTTTCGAACTGCTGACCTTGAGGTTAGCAACCCTATTCACAACCATTACGCTACCAGAGTTCCTTAGATGGGGCTGGGAAATTGGGACTTGAGACTGTTGGAGGTTTTGAAGGGAGCCGGAAGCTCATCCCTTGTTGCTATCTGTCCCCAACAGTGTGCGCTCTACCTGTTCCTGGTTAAATGTATGATCAGCACGTCTACCTTCTTACTCCTTTGCCTTATCGTGGCCTTTCACGCCAAAGAGGTCCAGGTAGGACAAACCGTGCCTCTAAGCCCCTTCCTCACTCCCTCCAGCCCCCACCACACCCTGTCAGCTCACACTTTCCACCCTCCTCCTCCTCCTGGGCTGAGTAATGAGGCTCCTCCACCCTGAGATGTGTCCACACCCTCCCCCATCAGGATGGGATGAACCCCAGACAGACAGACAGACAGACAGACGCACCTGGAGCAGCCCCAGCCTTCCTGCACCTGCAGCTCCCAGCCTCCTTTTTACCCTGTTCAGCCCTTCCAGCTTCTCCATCTCCCTGATTCTACTCCAGGGACCGCTCCACAAGTCCCCCCAGGAACCTCACTTCAGGACCCACCTCTCAGATTCCTATCCTTCATCCCTGGTTCCTCACCATTCCCATACCCAAGCAGCCTAAGATCCCAGCTACCTCTCTCTGCCAATCTCCCCTTAGAATTATGAGACTACGTCCCACCCATAGTCCTTTCCCCTCAGCCTCCCCAGACATTCAGCTCCTCATCCCCTACAGCCCTTCCGCATCTCCCCATATCCTGTTGACCCATCCTTTCTCCCTATCCCCTATCCCTATATGAGGTGTGGTAAACTCACTGCAATACTTGGTACATAAGGAGTATACGTTGTTATTATCATTAATAACATTGTTAATTAATAACAATGATTTGAGCAGTTAAATAACCTGGGATTGTAGCTGCTGCCCAATTGAGGGGCCCCCCCGAGCAAATCCCTTCACCTCTCTGAGTCTCAGTTTCTTTCTCTGTAAAATGGGAGTAAGATTCATAATCTCATAGTGTTGTGACGTTCACTGAGTCCTGGCTTGTAAAAGGGTGAGAATACACATTGGTCTGGCCAGCTATTGTTATTGCGAATACATATTATTATCATTGCAATGACTACGCATACTCCAAAAGACAGACGTAAGCGGGGCCACTTAAGACGGCAGGGTGGGGTGAGGGGGTGGTCTGTCTATGTGGTGCACTCCAAGTCCTCAACAAATATTAGTTCTGGAAGTGGACTGAAACTTGAGGGGCAAGAAGCACAGAGAGATGTTAGACCTTGCCCCACCCTTCCCTCAACCTCCTTGCCCCTTGCTAGCTCCCTCCTCGGGTCAGACTAAACGGACGCGCCCCCCTTATCTCGCGGTGCAGAGGGGAGGGCCGTTGCCAGGACTTGGCCTAACCCCCGCTCCCTGTCGGCTCCCTCCCCGCAGCTGTTCATGACCGACAACGGGCTCCGGGACTGGCGCGTGGCGGTGACAGGGCGGCAGGTGGCGCAGATCGTGCTGGAGCTGGCGGTGTGCGGGCTGCACCCGGCGCCCGTGCGGGGACCGTCGTGCGCGCAGGGCGCGGGCGCGCTGCGCGGGACGGTGCAGACCTGTCCGGGTTTTCTGGACCAAGAGGAGGCGCTGTTGTCGTTGGCCATGCTTCTACGCCTCTACCTGGTGCCCCGCGCCGTGCTTCTGCGGAGCGGCGTCCTGCTCAACGCGTCCTACCGCAGCATCGGTGCCCTCAACCAAGTCCGCTTTCGCCACTGGTTCGTGGCCAAACTGTACATGAACACGCATCCCGGTCGCCTGCTGCTGGGCCTCACGCTGGGCCTCTGGCTCACCACCGCCTGGGTACTGTCGGTGGCGGAAAGGTGAGAGTGCTGGAGGGGGGGGTGAGACTGGAAGTCCTGGAGGTGAAGGAAACATTCACCGCCTTCCTGTGTGATGGGGATGGTACAGGTTGGAAGCCAAGCCCTGGAGAAAACACACATTTCCCACTCTTTTCCAGTCCACACTCTCAATCACCAGAGTGAGGAACCAATGGGCCCGCCTCCAGCCCTTTCTCCACTTGCTGCCCATTTCTGGGCCCACATGCACACACAGACCCTTCGCTTCCTGTCCCCACTGCCTGAAATCCCCAATCATGTGTGCATTCAGTCGCCAAACCCAAGTCACTGGCACCTGGTTAAGGGATACTTGCACCTGGGAGGAAATGGAGGTTTTCTGAATGAGCAAAGAGATACTGTAGGACTAGACATTAGTCTGGAATGGCGTGATTAGGGACTGCTTGGGGGAAGAGTAAGATCTTGTGGGTGGCCGTTTAGGCTTGTAGCGTAGTGGTTATGAATCGGGCTGCGAACCTAAAGGTCAGCGGTTCGAAACTACCAGCCGCTCCGCGGGAGAAAGATGAGGCTTTCTACTCCCGTAAGGATTTACACCCTC